AATAAAGTACAGCGTTTTCTACTCAAAAACAGAAAAGAAAAATAATTTTAGTATCTTAACCCACTGCGCTTAATCACAGCCAATACAGCATCATCTTTTCTAGATTTTGGCCAAATTATAGGCTACTAAACAAAAAAAAAAAAATCTGTTAACGCTTTAAAGACATTAAAGTATTTTTTAAGATATTTAAAAATGTTTGCTGCATTGTGGAAAAAAATGCTACTCGTATAAAATTGCATTTTGAGATGGAAATAAAAAACAACATAAGTCGCGTAGGCTAACGTCGCATTTTATTATTAGGCTACATTCAGAAATAATGTGCTAAAATGCCGGTAAAGCAAAATATTTACAAACATTATAAACACCATATATATATATATATATATATATATATATATATATGGTATGTAAATGAAAGTATTTACGTCTTTCAATGTCAAAATGTCATGTTTAATGCAATGTGTTGCTGCTGCTTTTTAACGAATAGGCCTAGTGAAATTTACTAGGAATTTGTAAGTGTGAATTGTTTCAAACAGGGTTTCTGCATGTTTGGTGAAGCTGAATGTACACTAGTCAACATCTGAAGTGGATCAAAACCTTTCATCAAGGTTGTCCTAAAACCTAAATGAGTTCTTGTCTTAGGAGAACTTTGAACTTTTTTTTTTGATGATCCACTTCAAATGTTGGCTACTGTAATGTTTTTAGAGACATTTTTCAAACTGAAGGGAACACAATACATCATTATATTCTCTAAATGTAAATGTGTAAAATGAGTTGTATTTGAAAGTACAACCTACAAGCATTTTCCATTAATTTGTTATAAAATTGACAGATTTGTGACCTTTTAATACATTTTGCAGTGTGATATTCTTGTAATTTGTCCTGTTCCTCAGTATATTTATATACATGTCTAAAATGTAATTAAAAAAAAAGTAGTTGAAAGGGCAAATAATTATTTTATTCCCCATTGACAGATATGTGTTGATGTTTTTAGCACAGACCAGCTAAATGTGTAAATTTTTTCCAAGACATTTTTCATTTGCATGTGATTTAAGGATGTTTAAATATTTATATTGGATATCAAAAAAGCTGAGGAAGAGATTTTTTGCAATGCATGCAATTTAGAATGCCATGACCAGTTCTAAAGAGTGACATGATGTTGTGTGTGTCTGTGTGTCTCAGCATCAGCAGCTGGATGGGGAGCCCGTGTCGGATCTGCAGGCGTTCATCATGCAGTGTAAAGATCCTCCAGAATCGGGCTGCTTCAGTGCGGATGAGAGCAGCAGCGGTGGATGTCTGATGTGCTGCTGCTCACGCAGGTCAGCAGACCACACATAAATACACACATCGTGAATGCATTAGTTATATGCCAGAAATCTTTTCATGAATAATCAGTGTGTGAATGTCAGTTGTAGCTGCAAATTGACGTAGATTTGTGTTCAGGTGTGTTGATTTGGGAATAGGAAGGGCAAAATTAGCCATTTACTTTCAGAAAGAGTATACAATTTTTGTTTGTTTGTTTGTTGTTGTGTCAGATAATTTCAAATATGAATGTTGTGGGAAAATGTAGCTCTTAGGTGTTTGTAAAGTAAAAAGGGAAAAAAATCTATCTGTCTGTCTATCCATTTATCGATTTATGTATTGATATATTTGTGTATTTTTTGACTGATTTATTTATTGATGTATTAATTATGTCTTTCTGTCTTTATATATTGTGTAGCTGTGTCTGTCTGTCTGTCTATCCATTTATTGATTTATGTATTGATATATTTGTGTATTTTTTGACTGATTTATTTATTGATGTATTAATTATGTCTTTCTGTCTTTATATATTGTGTAGCTGTGTCTGTCTGTCTGTCTATCCATTTATTGATTTATGTATTGATATATTTGTGTATTTTTTGACTGATTTATTTATTGATGATTAATTATTTGTCTTTCTGTCTTTATATATTGTGTAGCTGTGTCTCTATCTATCTGTCTGTCTGTCTGTCTGTCTCGATCTATCTATCTCTGTCTGTCTGTCTGTCTCTGTCTGTCTATCTATCTATCTCTGTCTATCTCTGTCTGTCTGTCCGTCCATTTATTGATTTATGTATTGATATATTTGTGTATTTTTTGACTTATTTATTTATTGATGTATTAATTATTTGTCTTTCTGTCTTTATATATTGTGTAGCTATGTCTCTATCTATCTATCTATCTGTCTGTCTGTCTCGATCTATCTCTGTCTGTCTGTCTGTCTGTCTGTCTGTCTGTCTATCTATCTATCTCTGTCTATCTCTGTCTGTCTGTCCGTCCATTTATTGATTTATGTATTGATATATTTGTGTATTTTTTGACTTATTTATTTATTGATGTATTAATTATTTGTCTTTCTGTCTTTATATATTGTGTAGCTGTGTTGTACTTTTTTTCCCTGTTTTAATGTCATGTTGGTGTGTTTGTGCTGCAGGACACACGGCTCTGATGAGGACACAGACTGAACATGAAGTCTTCTGTGATTGGGATGAGTGGCATGTATGTAAGTTTGGATTGAAAGTGAGAATATGTGTTTGTTTGGAGATGAAGTGTATATAAATATACAAAAGAGAAACGGCAGAGTAGATTATATGCTTATATGCTGAGAAAGGCATTTAGGAAAGAAGATGTATAGTATTTTGTATTAGAAGTAGTTTGTTGACATGCAATTATAAGTAGATGAAGTTGTACTAGTGGGCAAAGACACCTGTTTGAAAGCAGTTATTTCCTACTGAATTCGCATATCACCTTGTAACATTCAGCTGTTTGTTTTTATTGAAATATATTTGGAGCTGGTCTTACTGTTATCAATGTATTATATTGTTGTTTGTGTAGATAAAAGCACCTTTTGCTTGATTAAGAGAAGTTTGCGGTAGTCGTGTTTTATTGTTGAGCTCTTGACTTGAGAGAAATACAGTGTACAGTAATGAGTTTATACTAGCAACATGTTGCTTAACTGCTAGTGAGACCAAGTGATTGAAATGTGACCAAACTACCTGTTTACGTTGTGGCAAGTTCTTAAAGGGGAAAAAAGTAGACGAGTAAGGTTAGTGTAAGTTATGCAGCGGATTGTTTATAGAGGCATGAAGAAAGTATGTTCTAAAGAATTAGAATATACATGGTTTGTTGTCTGTCTGTCTCTATTAAAGCAATAAGCCCCAAGAAGCCGTGGTTTACAGTGAATTTATAACAGCTAAGGCAATCAGAATCAAGGACCAGAACTCTCCGCTTTATAAAATTGTATTGATCATGGTCATTTTAGAGTATCATCAGTTAAGTCAACATAAGATGAGACGTAGTAGGAAGAAAGGAGTAATACTAATTAGTGGTCGACCGATATAGGTTTTTTTTGACAGCCGATGTCGATGCCGATAACTTGGAAAGCAGGGTGGCCGATATAATTTTATTTGATTTAATATTTAAGAAATTTGAAATAATTTGAAAATGGATTAAAAAATAAATGTGTAAAATAACTTTTTAAATAAAGCCAAGGTAACACTCATTTTACATACAAAACACAGTGAAAATGACATTAATATGATATTGGGCAAAAATGTTTTTTTCAACAAAAGACGGTCAAAAGCACTGCAAGCCTGTGAACAGTGATTTGCAAGCGAAAACAACCGTTTAAAGAACTGCAAAACGGATTGACTGCATAGAACCAATCTGTATGTGTACAAAACTAACTGTTGCGAGGGGGAGGGCGGGGCCACCACCTTCTTGTAGCCAATCAAATGAGGCTCATACAGTAAAAAAATAAAAGTTTAAAATAATTAAAACATGATATTTTATAAGTTGTGTACCATTAGGCTATGTGTTCATACTGAATT